CACACACACACACACACACATATATATGTTTCTGGTGTGGCTCTGTAGGATCAGCCCTGGACTTCGAACCACAATGTCATCAGTTCAAAGTTCAAACACACTAACTACTTCTCGGAAAACCTATACAGAGTTGCTATGTGTCAGAACTGATGGCACTCAACAACAGCTACACACACACACACACACACACACACACACACACATACATATACATATACTTTTATATGCTAGAAAGAGAAGTCCTGGTATGGCTTAATGCTCCTGCGGGTTAATGCTCTGGATTTCAAAGTTGGTTTGAACTGAAATATCAGCAGTTCAAGCTCACCAGTCACTCCTTGGGAACCCTATACAGGGTTTCTGGGAGTCTGAACCAACTCAATGGCACCTGACAACAACAACATGCTAGAAAGAAATCAACAAAATATTATGAGTGATTATTTCTATATCAGATACTCTTAAATCTGTTGGTAGACTTTCTTCAACAAGCACTTGTTTTTATTGTGATCATAGAAACAAGAAAAAACTATTTAGAAAACTGATACAAGAACTAAAAATCCATATAAAATTCACGCTGAAATCATTATTCTGAACAATGTGGCCCTGTAGGAAAAGTACTGTACTGCTAATAGCGGTTCAAGCCCACCAACTGCTCCTCAGAAACCCTATACAGGGTTACTATGAGGCAGAACCCACTCGGCAGCACTTCTTCCTTCATATGGAGAAGGCATGGAATATGTATCACATGAAAATTGTTTCATCTGAAACACTGAAACACAGCTATCCTGGTGCTGAAGGACCCTGTAAAACAGATTCGAAACCCCACAGGGTTTCCAAAGCTGTCAATGTTTACCGACGCAGACCGCCACTTCTTTTTCCAGCAGAGTAGCGGGTAAGTTTGAACCACTGACTTGTAGTTTCACAGCCAAACTGCTTTAACTAGTGCACCACTAGCACACTTTTTGGAGACTGTAAGTGCTGTGGGATGACTAAGCTTCCATTTCCTTCCTGTTGGTGTCCATGTTACATGACTAAGCTAGCATGCTGTTCGATTTCTATTTGACTTTCTCCAGAGTTCCAAGTACTAAAACAGGACTGTTGATTTCATTTGTTTCTTTGCAGGTCTCCAGACAGTGGGAATATTCCGAGTTGGAAGCTCAAAAAAGAGAGTGAGACAAGTAAGTGACCAAAGAAGATTATATTATATATTTCACTTGACTTCCGACCCAAGTAACGTGTGCAGACTTCAAGCTGATGCAAATACATTTCTGAATATTTCCTCTTTGCCTTCCTACCTAGCCCCCAAACCATTCAAGTCCATTGTGAGTCCCAGGAGGTGAAAGGCAATGACTCAAAAGCTTAAAAAGGCTGTCATCAAGTTAGAATCAAATGAGTAAAAGCAAAATGCCTCGATGTTTCCTCATCATGTCCAACCCAACAGTGCTAATTTGTCATCATCTTACTGAGTCATCAAGCAGAAATTCAGAGAGTATCTGATCAGCATATGTTAGCTAATAGAAAATACCAAAAATAAGTGTAGAGTATTATTGTAATGTACAATATACAAAATGCCATTAATGCTCTCTTCATGTAAAATGTTCTTTATAGCTTTACCTTCTCAAACAATGCATAGTGCTTAAATGTCCCTAGAACTATTGAGCCTCAATTCTTTTTTTTCTATAAATATCTGTACCCACTTATGAACTCGGCTACTGTGTTGAATTCTTATTTGATTTGATAATAGATCTTCAGGAATATAAATTCGTGATTGGGCAGGTAGCCACGTTCATTAACAGCTCCAGAAAAGGTAATCCATCCTTTGAGAAAAGGATTCGTTTGTTGGCTGAGAGATAATTAAAATGTTACGTCCCCTTTGATGGTTTCACCAGAAGGAAATGAAATTCAGCGACTCAATAATGAGGCTAAGAGAAAATAATGTTTCATTTAATAGAGCTAAAGAGATAATATTTGTTCATATTAGCGAGACTACCTGAAAGAAATATCTCCTTGTATCCTTTTTGTCAAGATAAGAGGAACTTTCAAAAGAAGTTATGTTTTCCATCTGTTTGGTTGGTTGGTTTTTATTTAATAGCCACACAAGACACTGGTGAACAGTGAGTGTTTCACTACAGAACTTGCAGGAAGGAAGCTAGAAGTGTAACGTTTGTTGGAGCTCTCACCTGTGCAGAAACAGAGTATTTTCACAAACATTTTCTCAGAATCCGCCCATCAGCCACAAGAGTAGCTTCTTTCATCGACTCTTTTTTAGGCTTAGCGAGCTTAAGAACTCTATTTCCAGATCACCACGTTAACAGTAACCAGCCCATAGAACACACTTTTTCCCTCTGCTCATTTTTTCTGCATGTGTTTGTGTTTAGAACTGGAAGATGGTGGGTTTGTTTCCTTGCAAGTCAAACTGGTGTACATGGCAGTGGTCTTGGTTCTGGGTGTTTACCACACACTTGAGGGCATGGTGTCTGGAATCAGTCAACTTTTCTGGGCTGTGATGGGTATGCTCCTTAGAAGGAGAGGCGGCAAGTGTCAACAATGGTTCATCAGTTCTGTCTAGATCCACCCAATGGAGACCATCTGTTTGGAGATTGAAGAAGAAGCATTTAAGAGTAGATGATCTGATAAAGATGTAATTAGTGGTCACTTTGATTTGAAGTTTGACATATACTCTCATTTACCATTCAGTATTGATAGATTGCCTTTTAGCAGCCTACACTCGCTCTTTAGAACACTTGTCACAATATAAAGAAGAGCTAGTCATCTGTGGGATTACCTGCTCATCACCTGTCACTCCAGCAGCCTGGAAACTGGAGGAGGGGAGGGACTTTGCCTTTTGATTTGCCACCGTATTTCTTGTGCCCATAACAGGGTCCACAGGAAGTATGCGGTCAAATGAATGAATCAATGCATGATTCAACAAATAAATTCTCATAAAAGATTATTACATAGAGAAGAGGCAATGAAGCACTATAATTATTTCTACAGCAGAGAATATTGCATCAAAGAAGTTTAACTATCAGGGCTGAGTGTAGGATGTATTACTCCCTTTTGCTATTGTGGGCTCTTGCTACTATGAATGCTAATAAACCGAGTGTAATGATTCTGGCAAGGAATCCTTCTGGGAATTGTTAATAAAGCCGCTTTGATAAATCTAAGGCAGCTTTTATTGTATGATTGCCATCTTTCAAGCTGTAGTCATAAGTGGCTCATCAGACTTTTGAATTTCATTGTCTGCAGAGGTGACTCGTTGTTTTGCCATCGAGTTGTTGGTGTTAAGTGCTGTGGAGTCAGTTTCAACTCTTAGTGACTCTGTATAGGATTTCTCAGGCTGGTGTTGCGGGAGCACAAAGCCTCATCTTTTTGCCTCGGAGCAGCTGGTGGGCGTGAACCACTGACCTTGTGGTTCGCAGTCTAGTGCTTATCCAACAGACACACCATGTTCCCTCTCATTGGGTACCTCTGTAAAAGTTCAAAATTCCACCATGGCATGATTGCTGACATGCAGAAAGGCTATGTAACGGATGGATTGCTCCCTCCCACACTTGGAGTTAAGAGTTCTGGTAGCGTAGTGCTTATGAATTGGGCTGCTAATTACCAGCTATTCTGCGGGAGAATGAGGAAGCTTTATGCTCCTGTAAAGATTTATGGCCTCAGAAACCCTATACAGGGTCGCTATGAGTCGGAACCAACTCCACGGCACACTACCACCACCACGTTCTCCTCCACCCCTTAGCTTGTCCTCCCGACCCTCTGGTGGTCTTTAGTGAACCCTTCTGCTGGCAGCATCCACAGTAAGCCCCCAGATAGCTCTATTTGATACCATATTAAGAAAACATATACTATATTCATGGCTAGGCTCCATAGACTCTGCAGATCAAATTGACATGTTGTTTGCTTCTCCTTCTTGGGGACTGCTCAAACTTGATAGCAGATGCTATATGCAAAGAACTTCTTTTGCTGGGAAGTGAACATTGAACTATGGTGTTATGTGACTATGGCTTGCTTGAAACACTCTTTTTTAGTTACGGGAAGAATTTGACCGTGGGATTGATGTCTCTCTGGAGGAGGAGCACAGTGTCCACGATGTGGCTGCCTTGTTGAAGGAGTTCCTGAGGGACATGCCGGACCCCCTTCTCACCAGGGAGCTGTACACAGCCTTCATCAACACTCTGTGTGCGTAAAGGCAGCCTTTTGCGGGAAAGTGCCCCTGAAATACCAGCATGTCTCACTCACTCATCAAAGCCTTGTGCATGTTTGCCCAGATAACTTTTTTGGTCTTTATTTATTGGTCTCTAATGAGTGGGCTATTTGGGGAATTTTCTGAGATTTACCCTAGGGAGAATTAGCAAGAAGAAAGTTGCTATAAAACAAATGAAAATAGCCAAGAAGAATTTGGGATGCTTCCCAATGACCTCTAAGAAAGTGCTACATAAATTGATACTTTGGAGTACTAGCAAGAGTTCACATTAAGTCTGTCCCTAAAAATAAGTTTGCATTTCTCGTACGAAAATGAAGGGAACTGCAGGAACCCAATGAGGAGGGGGGGGACAGGAATGATCCCAGGGAAGCTCCGAGATATCGACTTTTAATGTGGCTGTTTCTGGGCTGTAGATCCAAATCCCATGCAGGAGAGATGGAAGAAGATGTGGGGAGGGATGGACTTGCCAGCTTCCATTGGAAAGATTAATATAGAACCATAATAGAGAAGACACTCCCATTATTTGGTGTCTTGAATATTGCTAACATCCTTTGGATGCTCCTCAATAGAAAATGTCCCCCAATCCATTAGAAACTCCAGTTCCAGAACCTCCATCAACTTTCAAGTCACTGTTAGTAAATATTTACCAGTATTGAAATATTGAAATCCATAAAGTAAGCCATGTGTTCGTTCCATTGGGGAAAGGAAGGAGAAGCAAGTAAGGAAAATTAAGTTTCCTTTCCAACTAGGTTTATTGTAATTTCTCTAGTTGTTCCATGTCCCCTGGTGTAATTCATCTTTAGATCCTTCGGATTACTGTGTTGCTAGCTTGCTAACCCAGTGGGGGAGTGGATAAATGAATGAAATGTCATTGCCTTGGCAACCGCTTAGGTAAAACAGTTCCTCAATGCCTGGTGTGTGTGCCCCTGACTCAGAGCACCTCTTTTTGCCTTTTCCTTAGTGTTGGAGCCAGAGGAGCAGCTGGGTACCCTGCAACTCCTCATCTACCTTCTACCTCCCTGCAACTGCGACACCCTCCACCGCCTCCTGCAGTTCCTGTCCATCGTGGCCAGGCATGCTGATGACAACATCGGCAAAGACGGCCAAGAGGTACACATATATCCCCTCCCTTGGCCACCAGAGTTGCTGAGATTCTTTTCCCTATTTTCAAAGGATGAGCTACCAATGTGGTCAAATATTTCTCCTGGAGGAAATGACATCATCTCCTTGATTTCTCAATGTAGGAAGAGAACTGATGCCAGGTTTTCTCTCGAGGGTCAATTCCTGAGAGCACATGGGCCACTCACTCACCTTCTTGCAAGTTCTTGAGGATGCTTCCAGAGGAGACTGTCTTTTGCCATAAGGATGCTTTACTCAAGGCCCTGAATTTCCATTAGTGTAAGGAAGACAACAAAGAGTTTCCGAGGTACTTTCCGTCAGAAGAGGGTAGATCAAGGAACTGAGGCCAGGGCGGTGCTTGCAACTCATCCAAAGTCTAAATGTGCTGTCACCTCTTTATGCTTCCAGTTTATACCTGGGAGCTCCCATCTGTCCTAGTAGCTGGGACTCTAGTAGCTCTTGCAAGAGGGGTTATTTCCCTCCTTAAACACTTAAGCAAAGTAGAGACTGCCTCTATCTAATGGAGAGTCTATCCTACTTGCAAAACCTAGTGTAGAGGGAAGTAGGTGGTTAGCTTTACTATTCATTGACATGGTTCTCAGCATAACATGATGTCAATCGTTGAAGATGATTCTGCACTGTCCCATAGACTCTTAGTGGTATCCTGGTGTGACCCATGTCTGAGGTCTTGGGTTCTATCGAACTCTCTTTGGCCACACTCGTACACTCCAAAGTAATTTTGGGTTTCACCCTTGGACAAGGGAGATACTAACCTAATTTTTAAGTGACCTCTACCACGCTACCTATTCCATCTTTATCTTAATAGGAAACCAGCTTCCCTCTTTGATACCATTCAGTCTTACTTGTCCTTGACCTTGGGTTCCCCGGAAGATACCAGATTCTTTAATGTGCTAGCATGCACTGTAAATCAACAAGGGGCTTCCCAAATTGGCTTAACTACTGACACTTAGATTTTAAATCCTTGTTAAGCAGAACTCAGCTGTATTGTGGGGTTTTCCCAAAGAACATAGTTATATATTAATTTGTTCCACTTTAATAAAGAAAATTATGTATGGGGGAGCTTCAAAAAGTTTGTGTAAAAATTCCATTATCTTCTAATTCCATTTTTCCATGAACTTTTTGAAGCCTTCTCATATTTCTTTTCCTCTTCCTCCATGTTGGGGAGAATGGAACTCCCCCAAGTTTGTCAGTTCTAATTCTAGGAGTTATAATTTCTGAAACCTCTGTTGGCGGCAGATTAATACTACGGCCCTGACACATTTTTTCAACATGCACGGTGCTTTGATGGCTCTAGTATGATTCTCAGAGTTGCTAAGTAGTTAGGTCACCTGTCTGGGTCTACAGCATCACCGAGTGAAGGCAGAAAGAGCTCTGTGTTCCTAGGACGGTCGGCTGATCTGCTGGTATTTTTTAAGTGCTATGTGAGAAGGAGCAAGTCAGGCCTGAGCTGTTAAGGCATCAAGGAAAGTAAAAAATATCCAACTGAAAACACTAGTGCCTTTTTAGAATCGTTTTCAAACACTCTTTCTGTCTAAATGCTGTCCATTGGATGGGTATAAATGAGAAGTAGTGTGATGGAACACTGGAGTTCTGGGAAGGCACTGTGAGATAAAGCATTGGACTGCAAGCACTTAACCACAACAACAGTGCTGGACACTTGTTGTTATAGTTGTTAAGTGCTGTTGAGTCAGTTCCGACTCATAGTGACCTTGTATAGGGTTTCCCAGGAGCAGCTGGTGGGTTTGAACTGCTGACCTCATGTTTCGTAGTCCCGTGCTGATCCTACAACATCAAACCAGGACTCCCTGCCGGATCTAGTTACCAGGGGCCAGCATTGTGCTAGTGGCCTCACATACCCACCCACTTCTCACTTAGGAACATGGTCGGGTGCCAAAGATCAGGTTGTTCTGTGAAAATCAGCGTTATGAGAAGTGGAGGATGACAATCATCCCCTCATCCCCTCACTTGTACTTTGAACAGCCCACTGGGCCCTTGGCCACCTCTTCCTAGTCCCCTCAGGAGAGCTCAGCACCCACCATCACCCTCAGAGGAGGGTCACTCCAAAAGCCCCAGTGGTCCAAGCATCGCCCCTCTCTCCATCCCTGGGACCTTCTTCTCAGGATAGGTGGCCCCAGCTCATCCCCTCAATGACCCCAAAATGCTCTCGGTGGCTTTGCCTGGGGCAGAGGACTTCCTGTCCATAGATGAGAAGGCTTGGGTCCGCTTGCTGACCCCTTACCTGAGCACTGACCTGTCCCCCTCCACCTGCATGTCCCCATGAGAGTTGACAGTGCAGAGCTTCCTCTGAAGCCTGGCCTTCTACCCTTGACTTCAAACTGCAGCTGCTGCTGGTCACTGACCCCACCCCACCCACGTAGCTTGCCTGCCCCATTCTCATCTGTACCCACCCAGGAAGGGACATCGAGGAAGCTTAAGCAGCTGCATGTGAAGTCCCATAGGCCCCAAGCACCCATCTTGGGGCTCTTTCTGACCATGACCTGGCCAGATCCCAGAGTCTCATTTATTCCTCAGCCCCGATGATGACCCACCTTCAGGACGCTGGCTGTTGCCGCCCTGGTTCACACAGGACCCACAGGGCTGCATCTTGCCCCTGCCCTCACCACTCCAGGCCTGCCCATCCACTCTGCCTGGCTCCTCCTCTCCCCTCTTGGGCCAGGAAGTACTATGCGGTACAAATTTTCTTTTCTGTATGCACAAGGAGCCCTGGTGGTTCTGTGGGCCGAACATTGGGCTGGTAAACACAAGGTTGGGGGTCAAGACACACCTGACACTCTGAGGGAGAAAGATGAATCAGTCTGCTGTGGGTTAATGCACTGGACTGCAAAGTCGGTTTGAACTCAATGCCCATGGTTCAAGCTCATCAGTCGCTCTTCAGAAACCCTATACAGGGTCTCTATGGGTCAGAATTGACTCGATGGCACTTAACAACAGCAACAACCGGGTCCACCAGTCAGGCACCCCAATCAGGGACTTTAAGCGTTTGTTACCGCCAGATGTGCAACATTAATGTACAAAATGTATAATTGATTTTTACTATTGTCATAGTTGTACAATGTCAGATAATGAGATAATAAATGAGGAGTAGATGTATTGTCACTATTTCTCCCAACAGACAAAATATGTCCCCAAGGCATTGAGTTACTTAATCAATGTCCCACTGGGTGTCTCCACTTCTAGTAGTGCAATTTACATATTTGTGTGTTTCGGTAGACTGGAGGCTCCACGTCCCCACAGTTACTGCAGCTTTGCATAGTTATTAGTGATCCCAGCGATGGCAATAAAATGTCTTGAGAAACGGACTCCTTTTTCTCTCCTAAACTTTTTTATTGTGAATTATGTGGGTTTACATAGAAGATCAGTTTTGCATCCAACAAGTCATATCCTTCTTCTCATCTCAGTGACTGTGGTCCCCTCAACGGAACATCACTTTTCCCACTTCCTCCCTGTGTTTCCATTCCTTCTTCTTTCCAAACTCTTCTGAACTTTGTCCTTGGCTAGATGCTGCCCATTTGATCTCAAATGGTTGACCATTCTATTCCCTCACTAATGTCGTTGCCCCTCCTGTATACTTATATATTGCTTGACTTCAAATGGACCCATAGGGGTGAGTTCAATTCCAGACTAGAAAGATAACCAAGGGCCACAGTCTCGGTGTTCCAACAGTCTTCATCTGACTTGCAAGCCTGCTCTTTTTAATGATTTTGAGTTTTGTTCCATATTTTCTCTGACTCAAGCCAAGACCTTCTAATGTAATTCCTTTCAGAGCTATTGGTAGTGGTAGCTGGGCACCATCTAGTTCTTCTGGTCTCAGGGTTGTGAAGCCTAATGTTCATGTGGACTAATTGTTTCCAGGTGTCTTCAATTTTCATCATTCCTCTTTCATTTATATGGGAGGAAACCAATAGTTGCACCTTAGATGGCCACTTAAGAGCTTTTAAGTTCCCAGTAACTACTCGCCAAAGTAGGGTGGAGAATATTGGACTATATCGTGCTAATTGACCATGATGTCCCCTAGGACTTTGTTTCTGAGCTTCCAGGCCCAGCAACTCATTCCTTCAAGATGTTGGTAATGTCTAAGAAGTTTTCATAACATTGAGAGACACCTTTTTCTAATTCATGTGAAGTCTATCATAGTGATTAATGATGAGTCAGTCCCATAGCAAATAAAAGCACAGCTGTACCTCCAAGCCAAGCCAGTTCAACTCACCAAGAACGTACACACTGACTACAAAGGAGACCTGTACTGGAGGTCTACCTCTGGGTTTCTGAGCTTTAGCATGACTGATGTTTGGAAGTGGCTCCTTCTTTGTGGTGGGGACTGTCCTGTGCATTGTAGGATGTTTAGTATCACCCCAGGCCTCTACCCCTTTCCCACCATGACAGCTAAAGATGTCTCCAGACATGACCAAATATCTCCTGGGAAACAAAATCACTCTTGTTGATAACACTTGGTAGCTCTATAAATCACTAGCCATACGTTTGGGCACAAATCTTCCTCAACCTTTGTTTTTTTACCTGAACATTGGAAATAACAATTTTTGAACTGTCATTGCCCACTGGTTGAGAGGAATGGTTTATGCTAAGGAATATGACAACCTCCTGTGAACAGCAAAGTTGTATAAGGCAGCAAGGCGATGCAAAGTTTCCTAGACATACCAGACCTAAACATTACATGCAAATGAAGGAATCAAATCAAAGATCAGAGCAAAACTAAAAATCAAATTTCAAAATATAATCAAAAAGCCAATTGTCAATTTTTTCTCTTCTCTGTTTGTGTTAGTTGTACTATTTCTTTGTGGAGTAGTTACTTTTATGGATTGAAACATGGGATATTAGCAAAATTGCAACTCATACCAATTCCACCAACACCTAGCTACGATGGCTGTATCTTTATAAAATGGCAAAATAGGAAAGAAAAAGGAGATTGGCACAGGTAGATGGAGTGTCTT